AACAATAAATAATTCTCACTTGGTATACTGTCGGATTAAATGAAAACTTTTCTTTCATGGCGGTTTATTAAAAAACGCAGTTGAAATTGATAAAAAGTTAAAATACAAAAACCGGTATTTGGATTTTTTGGCAACTTGTTCGAATTAAAATATAATTTAATATTAAATTTTCCTTGTTTTAACAGAAAGGATATAAGTAGTAGTGTAAGCTTCAAATGTTTATTCATAATCTTTCACAAAATCATATCTACGATCTTTAATAAATAATAAAATAGCAAATTCTATAAATACAATGTATTGATTGGGCCTAAAACACTGTATATTTAAAGGTAAAGAGATAAAAGGGAAAGTACTCACCGAACATGTTAATATATTAAATTATTTTCCATTAGCCAGGAATAACTGAATGCCTCTTAGACGAGTTCGATTTGATGAAAGAATAATATGGACTGCTATGAACTTTAAAACTTGGTATTTATCCAAAAGTTACAAAATGGTTAAATTTGTTATTGTTCTTCGTTGAACAATTTTAATTTTTCTTGTTTTTTATATTCAAAGTACGAGGGATGTAAAACGTGATACTTCTAGGATAGCTGTATATTCTTTTTACAAGACGGCTAGAGATAGACACTTTTATACTAGTTGAATAATGAATTTTGTACACTTTTTCACGTATGCTTCGATGGCAAAAGTACAAAAATATGTTTCTTTTATTTTATTATTTTTATAGTTTTTAAGTACAAAGCGCCGTAAAAACCCGAGCCATCTGTTAAAATATGTACAGAGCCTTAGCAAATTCTTCATGCAGTTGTTCTATGAAAGAAAGAACCCTTATTAAATTATAAAAGGTAAATTTACTACAAGGTGGGGTCCTAAGGCTGTATGACACTTTGCGATTTAAAAAAAAGGCACAAAAAAGCTTCTTGTAAAAAGGTACAAATTAGTTTTAAATTTATTCTTGTTTTAAAGTTAATTTTTAGTAATGTAAGTAAGTTAAATTTTATTAATTAGTTGTTAAAGTTATTTTTCCGAAGGCCCTAAAAATTTTATTTCTCAATTTGTACATTATCAGTTCAAATTTTTAGATATATAAAGATGCAAGTTGTAACAAAATACATAAAAATTGTTTTATCCTGGGCGTGATAATTTAAATTCAATTAAAAGTAAATAATTGGATCTATTTTTTCTTTGTAATTGTACATTGGAAAATAGACCTTTATTTTTTCTGCGTTTTATTTGAGAGGAGTTTTAGTGTTTTACTTTTGAATTAAAATATCTATAATTTGTTCTTTATATTTAAAATTGAACCTTTAAACCCTGAAATCTTCCTGTTTTTTTTTTTTTAATTAACAGTTAAAACCATTATTTGACAGTTATTATTTCCTTCGGGTTTTCTTTGTTTCAATATGCATTTCATTGTGACTACTGAACCTGAACAATATTTTATGGTTTTTTTTTCTAAAAGTGGTTTATTCGATTAAGTTTATGAATTCGTAAAATGAATTTTTGGGTTCTTACGTTTTTTGAAAAGCCGATGTTATTTTTCAACTCGTTATAGATTTTCGGATAATAGCATTTTCATTATGTATTATGTGTAATTTAGTTTTGATATTTACTGAACGGAAAGATAGCGCAAAATATTTTTATGGACGATGTTAAATCGGCGGAAATTTGGTTGTACTTGAAAGTAATTATTTTAATTATTAAACAATTTAAAACAAAAATAAAATAGGTATTTATTTTAAATTTTTTTATGCCAGTGGTCATTGTTGTGTGGGTGTATTGTGATTGCTGAACCTGAACAATAAGTTTTTGAAATATGTACTTTTTTAAATGCGGATTATTCATTTAAGCTTCCGAACCAGAAGCACTAAACCGAACAACGTAAAATGAATTTCTGAGGTTTTTACGTTTAAAAGAAAACAAAAAACTGATGCTATGTTTCAATTCGTACATTATCGATTTTTGGATATTAGCATTTTCAATATATATCGTGTATAATTTTTCTGTGACACCGGGAAATATAGAATAAAATATTTTGATCAACGATGTTAAATAGGTGGAAAATTTGTTGTTTACAGTTGGATCTTTTGAATAGTAAATAATTTAAAATAAGATGGAGAGCTATGTTAAATTCTTTATGCCAGTGATGTTGCGTCGACCGGGGTATCAACTTACTGAACTGACTCATAGAAAAGACGTTCCCACTAGTGCGTGACTGCTATCCTTTTTCTATTCTTTATTAACTAGTGCTGACTGTTTACTAGCCGATGTCTTGCCAACGTCAAATCGCTATTTGTGTTTGCTTTCCGTCGGCCCGCCGTCCTTTAATAGCTAATTTATCATCTCTTCGGAAGATAAAACCGTTAAGCCTCTGATAACGTGTTTTTTCTAAGTTACCGATACAGCATGGGAATGTTAATGCTGCCGGCCTTCTTATCTTGGCGGATGACATTTGAATTCCTACCCGAATAATTGTTACGACCACATTCTCGTCGCGGAGACAGATTTTTACATCCTGGTTTGTATTTCAAGTAGACGATAAAGTCTTTTGTCCTATCTAAATTTAAAAACCAACAAGTCGCAAGGACAAATGGTGAATCTCTGGGGGCAGAAAGAATTTGTGAATGATGAAGAAATGGGGCCTGTTCAAATAATATCGGGATTTGTATAGAAAAGTGCTAAATTAATATTAAACTCATATTGATATTGCATTTATTTATAACCAACTAGTTCCCCCAGATTAGATTCCATAATTAAAATATTTAGGAATTACCTGAATTGTGTATTTATTATTATTTTTTACGGTGGTTCGCAACAGAAAAGGTCATATCAAACCTCGGGGTCTCGGTGTTTTTGAAAAAAAAATTGTATGTAGTGTCCACTACATTCGAACCCAGATCCTTTACCTTACAGTAATGAGCGAAGTGTCAACGCCTAAAACGTTGCGACCACCGAGTCCCGTTTAATTTTTTTTTTTTTTTTTTGCAGTGGTAGAAAATAAGTATATAATTTATATTTGATTTATCATAAGCAAAAGGAAAAATTTTTAGAAAATATTCGAATCTTTTGTTTTAGTTAACAAACATGAAATTCGTGCTGACTTCATATTTAATGTTATAAATTATTTTCTATATTTTAATAATTTATTATTATTATTATGTTCGAAGATAAGAAAAACCGCCACTTTTGTTATTTAATTCAAATTATATATTTTTTATCGTTATATTAATTACAACATACTTTTTTTAATATAAATTAAATAAAACGAAATCAGAAACATGAATTTTCATTAAAATTTTTTTAATTATTGGGGTTTGAAAGGAAATCCACCAAAACAATGGAAAATCGTTTAGTGGTAGATTGAAATTTAATTAACAATTTAATGCCTAGTTTTGCTCTTAATAGTGCATTACTAATTAATATAATTAATACAACGAAATGAATAACGAAATAGGTTTGTCCGGTATATTTTGTATTTATGTTTAGAATATTTAAAATTAACGAGGCAGAATAGATAGTAAATTTCGAGGGACAAAAAGCAAAAATAAGCCTTGTTCAATTAATATGGGGATTTGTATAGAAAAGTGATAAATTAAATTTCAACTTATTTTAATCTGGAATTTATTTATAATCAACGAGCTTTCATGATTCACAGATGATCGGAATTTTGAATTTAATATTGTTTTTCTCCAGTGTTATAAAATAAGTAGATAATCTTCTGTATTAAGATAATCTATCGATTTGCTTTAAGCGATATTTAAGGATTTTTAACAATTTTTTTTGAAACTTTCGTTATAGGCCATAAGTTAACATAAAATTCATGATTTGTTAATTATTTATGGAGTCAAAGACACAAATGAAAAAAAAAGGGCCACTCTTAGTTTGTTATTTAATTCAAATTATGTATTTTTATCGATATATTAATTACAACGTACTTATTTTAATGTAAACCAAATTAAACTAGTATAGAAAATTATGAGTGTTAATAAAAATTATTTAATATATTACATAGATTAAAGTTTACTTAACAATTTATTACCTGGTTTGTCTCTTAATAATGCTTTAATAATTAAATACTCTTAATAACGCGCTTAATAAATTAAACTTAGTACATCATTAAATGATTTTCCGGTGTTTTGTTGAATTTTCTTTCAGACCATCATAAATATTTGTGATTAAAATTCACGAATTTCTAATCATGTTTAATCTGGTTAATTAATTAAAATGAGTACGTTGTAATTAATATAACAATACAAATGCGTATAGTTTGAAATGAACAACAACATACGAGTGCCCGGTTCTTTTGTCTTTGAATGTATATACATGTACAGAGGATAACTCTAACTACCACCTGACTTTATATTTAAACTCATAAAATTTGTGCCTTATTATCATTAATTATTATATTAGATATATTTTTTATGCGATGAGATTCCAAACTTCTCCAAAACACTTTTTGCTTTCGTGAAAACTATATTATTTTATCGTGATAATATTGTTGTTAATTCTGTTCTATAGTTTGTTATTAAAACTTATTTATGTTGACCCGCTCTATTCCAAAAATTTAATTTTCTCCCTCTGTGGAATAGTGTGGGACAAGACAAAAAATACTTTTTGCTTTAATCGAAAAGCCTACTTTCAAACTCGTATTTTATTAGTTCAAAATAAGCTTTAAAAAGCCGGATTTATAGTTTAAAGGAAATTTGAGGTTTTACTCCCTATTGTATATTGTGGTTCTTTCGAATCTAATAAAAGTGTGTCTTAAAACAAAAGACCGATCGTAAAAGCATGATGTAGCATGAATATTTGAGGGTAGTTTTTCTGAATTGACTTATCGAAATAACTATGAACTGATATGCAGGTTTTTGAACTTTTTTTTATCAATGGCTGTAAATACCAACTGTTTTAATGTACTTCATGACGTATAATAATATTGTTTTTTTCTTAAATTTAAGAAAATATATATAATTTTTTAAATAGGAGGATGATGTACTCACCTCTAAATTATTGAGTATAGTTTGACAATTTTCGCTAGGCACTGTTGAGTCAATGGAGACGGTAAGTCCACGGTAGGTCCCGTCCAAAAAGTGCAAGGATGCGAAGACAGCCGGGAAAACCAGTAGTAAAACACTTATGAAATAGCACATGGTGTCAGAGAAAAAATTCACTTTCGGCCTTTAAAAGTCTCACTTCGACATGACAATCGACCTGGATCGATGGTTGCTACGAGCAGCCTAGCACAACAGCACGGGGCAAGCAGTACTCGGAGACTGCCGCTTGTTCCCCTCCTGGTGCTGCTCTTCCTCTCCGAAACCCCCACCAGCAGGCCTATCTTCGGCTCTACCTGTTGATCCCCTCCTCCAACAACAACCCCTTTCGATCTTTACTGTTTAACATCCGGCCAAACCCAATAAGTGATCTACAATTTCAAAAATAAACATCTCGAGTTCTTACTCGTTAAGTATGAATCGATTTTATTGATTTTCCTTAAGACCTAGGTATTGACGGAGCTATTAAAGTTTCGGGTTAAACAATTTACTGTTCCAACTGTGGGATTCTGCTATGCAGGTTCGTTGATGTACTAATTGATCGTACTGCCACATTGACCGATTTTTGGATATTTTTTATTTTCCTCTTCCTTTAGAGTTGAAGCACCGACCAAAATCCAAAATGCCAAGTAAATCGTCACCCATTTTTATACTTTTGGTGGTATCATTTCATCAATAACTTCATGCAACATTGACAAAACTTAAAAGTTATAGATTTTATTATTAAAATGCAATAAAGTACAACAGAAATTTATAATAGCTATCGTAGAAAATGAACTCAAAACGTAACAATAGGCTTTGTCAAACTTCTGACAAAAAAAGACTGGATTAGAACTTTTTGCTTTTTCGAGCTGGTTTTGGAGATTTTCAGCACGATGACGATAATACTGTAACTTCATCTTCAGTACGGTCCTAGGAAGGTATGGAAATGTTGCCGTTGAAGGGGTACTTCTTGTCGATGTAGGTGCTTTCGATGGTTTCCCTTGGTGGCTTGAAGCCAAGGCAGACGCTCTTGCAAATTTGTCTTCTTCGTCCCGACCTTCTTGGCCAAGATTACGGCCGTTTCTGGAACTCCTTTTCGACTTGTTCTGCTATTGTTTCGGATTTCTAGAATAATTAGATAGACTGGTTATCACCGGCCCGATACACGAGGAAAGAGATATATATTTGTTATGATCAATATGGGAAAACTGAGCTGTATACGCAGTCCAGTTAATCGTTCAATTCTTATACTTAGTTCTTAGTATAGGTAAATTGAACGTGTTTACTTATGCGTTGTGAACTATGTCCACGTTGAATGTTTGCACTTACCGTCATCAGTTGAAGCACCCGGATAGTGCGTAGAGGAACCCCCGCAATATCCTGGAGGAGAGTCGGCCCCCTAGGAGATACCCAGAAACCCAGAAGCGCACCTCAGGCGTCCAAATTCCGACGACGCCGATATTCCTTTCGCCTCACAAAACAAGAGTCTGGTCGATATTCCTCGGGGCGGGTTTAACCCTCCGTTCCCACTAATAAATTACTTTCACTCTTCAGAGACGCATACACTCATCCCAGATATTCCTAGGAGTGGGGATAATCTCCTCATTCACACTAATGATTTACATTCATACCAATACATAATCCAAAACATTTAAACACATTCTATATACATTTATAAAGTCTTACAGCCCTGAGGTACTGAAACGCGATACGTGACCGTAATGTCACGCATAGGTTAGCAAGAACTCCGTACCTCATCGTTTAGGTTTTAAGTTTTCTGCATTGTAAAATATGCCCAGTGCTTAACCTTTCGGTACATACTGGGCACCGACGCGGTTTCTTTCCGCCACCAAGTGTAAACCTAGTATGACCTATGCGTAACCTGGTGGCTCTTTCCCTTTTCGACCCGTCTTCCGTCGACCAGTGTTAGAATAAGGTAATAGTCGTTAGAATAAAAACAGTTTGATCCATTAATATCTAGGCTCAAGGAACACTAATTACTATTTAATGTTGTAATATTAACAACCAAGACCATTTTATATTATGAAAATAAAAATATATTTCACAAACATTATTTCCGGAATGAATGTATAATTTAGTTATTATTTCTTTTACAGAAGAATGATCGTACATCCAAAAAATGTTATAGATAGAAATTTCTTTATTATATCTTGAGTATTGTTTATTGTTCCTGAGGACTATTTAACTTTCGATTGATCGAGTAGCTATTATTCTCTCACATTTTGAATAGCAACGCTCTATTCTTTTAACTTCAAAATTAACTTTAAACTACATTTATTTCTATGTTGAAAGAATGGTGGGAAGAAAAATGGAAGATCTTGGCAGTGGAAGTGGTGTTTGTACCATTTGTCTTTAAAGAGTCATATGTATTCCCTCCATATCTAAAAATTGAAATTTTACATCAAACTTTCATGAGTGAACTGTATTGCTGGGGGGTTTGAGCTCAATGCATTAATATTTATTAAATCATTTTCTTTTAAGATAAAAACTAAATTCTCGACAAATTATTATCAGATCTGCTAATATTGAGGAAAGAGGTCCTCCCATCGTCTTGGTAAATATTTATGTTATTCTTTGTACACAAACTTGTTAAACTAAGTGAAAACATGTTAACCTAAAACACTACTCGCCTCTTATCTGACTCGCATGAGAAATTTTACGTTTTATGCAAATACGGTTTTAAATGGTACAGTCTACATGCATAAATTTATATGAGAGTTAAAACTACTGTTGTTGCAAATTTATGCTAAAATTATTACAATGAGAGTTTTTTCATTGATCAACAATAAAATATATTATGACTTGAATCTGCTTAGAAGTATAAATAAATACAAATCCAGGTATTTATAATGCCTGTACAAATTTAGTCTGCAGTTCCTGTAAAAAATCCTGTTATGATTTAAAGTTTTTCAAGTTTTGTTTAATCCATTCTGTTGCTTCTTTCCTATCAAAGCTTGCTAGACAGCTTTTGGATTGCTTATGCCCAATGAGTGAATTCCTCTGTTTCCTCATTTGCATTTTGTCTCTTTGTCTAAGATACTGACTGATGTTGCCCTATTCCACAGAACGGCTCAAGACTACTAAGTAGACCCCTTCCTTGCTAGTGCGTCACGTTTCCCTCCACCACCATGCCCGGTGACCCACTATCAATTTTCGCAGTACATCTGGGTGAGGGTAGTACTCTTCTCCTGGGAAATAGGCCGATGCTACTCTAGTTTTTTCCATCTATCTTTATGTCTATTTTGATTGAGACTATGTCTTTAGACATGAATTCTGCAAGGCAGAGGTTATTAGTGTTTTATCGCGAGATTTCCTCCTGTGGTCTGGATGAGAACTGCCCTTACGTGTTACGCGGTAAACAACCTAGCAACCACTGCCGGAGCAGCTTTAGCATGATAGATGTTTACTTGGGCCATCCTCATGTTTTCCATGTTTTGTTATTCTTTTGGGGGAGGAGCAGGTAGCTCAATGGTTCCTCCTTATTTTCTACATATCTAAACTAATATTAAGTTCTACATATCTAAAATAATATTAATATTAAATTCAATTAATTAATCTTTTTATGTAAGGTTTTGGATGAATTAAAGAGTTAGTGTCACGAGCGGGATTCGAACCCACGACCTTCGGCTCAATAGGCCCCTGCTCTACTAACCTTGTCACGGTAGTTCATGTGGTTATTCCTATTGTGACTTTAGGTTAGAGCAGCCGCGTATTGAGCCGTAGGTCGTTGGTTCGAATCCCGCTCGTGACCCTAACTTTTTCATTTCAACCAAACTCTTACACAAAAAGATTAATTAATTGAAAGAAGTAATTTCGTCAATAGACCACTAAATATGAATTAATATTAAAGTAAAAAGTTGAAGTTATCCTTTCAAAACAGCCTACACTCATAATAATGATAATAATAACAATCATCGAACATTAACATAAAATTTAAAAATAATAAAGCTCAGTTAAACAAATGTGGCGGAACATTTATCTATCTACAGGGATTAAATTTTTAAAATAATAAAAAGTTATTTTTAGTTTATTGCTTAAACACTAATTTTGAACAGATCTGAATCTGTGAGCCATTATGGTTAGCAATTTTCAGTCGTAAAATTGAGTTATTTGCAAAATATAGTAGCGAATTGCTTTTTTTTAAAGGAAAAAGGTATGAGTTTATACGGGTTTATTCGTTAGCTAGCAGAATAATATGTTATGCTGATCAAAACTAAAGGTGGACAGACGTAGGGGTACTGCCTGTCGTTTAGCTTTAAGGGTTGTTGGCAATCTCTCGAAAGAACTTGCCATTTCATGTTGCTTGAATAGAATTTTTGTTCTAATTTTAAAATTCCCCTAAAGTTATTTTGTTTTAATACAGGCTAATGGAATTATGAGAAAAACAATATGTTAGGAATAAATACTACCGAAACCTATAACAATCATTATTTGAACAGTACTAAATTTTAGAGCTAAAATTAAAGGTTTATTAGGATTTGGAAGTGATGATGGGTGTTATCTGTCTCATGCTGAACCGGCATAGTATCATTTAATGAGTCCCTCTTCACTACGGGTTTGTTGAATTACTCAAACGCGTTTCGGCCATCTTCAGTAAGGAACTTAATATTATCATTAATTATTAGAGCCTGTGTACACTGGAAAATCTTTATTTTTTAAGCTGTAGTTCATTTATTTGATCAAGTGAAATTTTTTTGTGTGAAAATTATGAGTATCTTATTTTATATTGCAATTTTTAAATGAAACTTTATGTGTTTATTTATTAGACCGTTGTAAATACTGCACATAAATTTACGGACGTAAAATCCAATTAATGCTTCTTACTAAACTTAGGCAGCTCGTCTATTCTCGTTCCTAGCAACTTCGTTGAAATTAAAATCTAACCTAATTGCCTACAGTATTCGGCGAATAATCTCAACTAAATATAAATCAATCGTTTTCCCTTGTAGGTTTAATCAAGCTTCATAATCTCCCTTGAAACACAGCAAAATATTATGTAGATGATCAAAAAGTCGTTATTATTCTAATCTTCAGTGATGATTTGACATCATTTATTGTAAAAAGGTTACAGTACTATAGCCGTGACATTACAATGACCTTAATTATCCAAAATCTATATCAGTGATGCAAATATTAAATAATATCAATGTATAGTATTTTATCAATCAGTTTGAATTTGGAAGTTATATTAAATTAATTATATCTAGATCAAGGTATCAAAGTATCAATAATA